TTATTAAGCGAATGGCGCTCAGACCACACGAATACAGTTTAATCGCCATGGAGCCAAAGTCTTTACCGTCAGTTTCATACGAATGGGCTCCATGGGATTCCTATCTGGGGTATAACACATTCAAACAAATCTACCGAACCCCAGGCAGAAAAGCACGAATGAAGCTTTTCTGCAGGTAAAAAATATGTCTTTTAACAGGGGGCCATAGTCTAAAGGCAGCAGGCGAGCAACCAGGCTTCTCCAATGCAATGTGGCGAGATTGGTCTTGTCACAATAGATATTAGGGAGGTACAGCTATTTAAGCTGTGGAGGTTTTTGTATTGATTGTTTTTTTGATTCATTATTATTATTCTTTTCAGATATATTCACAAATTATACGTTGATATTATTTACCTATTTCAATTTCCAGCTATTATTTACACATCTGAGGGGTGTCCTCAGATCTGTGAATTTTTTGAATAAAATGTCTTGATAAACTTGGGAATTCATTTTCCCTTCAATGATAGCAATCCGTCCAGGCCCTGACGCAGCAAAGCAGCCCCAAACCATGATGCCCCCACCACCATACTTCACAGTTGGGATGAGGTTTTGATGTTGGTGTGCTGTGCCCTTTTTTGCCACACATAGTGTTGTGTGTTTCTTCCAAACAACTCAACTTTGGTTTCATCTGTCCACAGAATATTTTGTCAGTACTGCTGTGAAACATCCAGGTGCTCTTGTGCAAACTGTAAACGTGCAGCAATGTTTTGTTTGGACAGCAGTGGCTTTCTCTGTGGTATCCTTCCATGAAATCCATTCTTGTTTAGTGTTTTACGTATTGTAGATTCGCTAACAGGGATGTTAGCATTTGCCAGTGACTTTTGAAAGTCTTTAGCTGACACTCTAGGATTCTTCTTCACCTCATTGAGCAGTCTGCGCTGTGCTCTTGCAGTCATCTTTACAGGACGGCCACTCCTAGGGAGAGTAGCAGCAGTGCTGAACTTTTTCCATTTATAGACAATTTGTCTTACCATGGACTGATGAACAGCAAGGCTTTTGGAGATACTTGTATAACCCTTTCCAGCTTTATGCAAGTCAACAATTCTTAATCGTAGGTCTTCTGAGAGCTCTTTTGTGCGAGGCATCATTCACATCAGGCAATGCTTCTTGTGAAAAGCAAACCCAGAACTGGTGTGTGTTTTTTTTATAGGGCAGGGCAGCTGTAACCAACACCTCCAATCTCATCTCATTGATTGGACTCCAGTTGTCTGACATCTCACTCCAATTAGCTCTTGGAGATGTCATTAGTCTAGGGGGTTCACATACTTTTTCCACCTGCACTGTGAATGTTTACATGGTGTGTTCAATAAAACATGGCAACATTTCATTCTTTGTGTGTTATTAGTTTAAGCAGACTGTGATTGTCTATTGTTGTGACTTAGATGATGATCAGATCACATTTTATGACCAATTTGTGCAGAAATCCATATCATTCCAAAGTGTGTGTTCACATACTTTTTCTTGCAACTGTATATCCATATTTTTTTTTAATCCATAATTTATTTATTTTTATTTTTATTTTTTCAATCAATGTGGATCACATAATTTTTTTCTTTGACACAAATAATTCAATGCACTTTAAAAGTAGAGTTAGCTCTGAGCTGGACAATACTCCCCTAATAGTACTCCTTTATGAGGGAGAGCCATCTTCTTGTCCATTTACTCTTTTTTTCCAGTAAAAGAATCACTTTCAGGATTAGTCAATTTGAAAATGGAAACGTGGATCCACGATCTGAACAGCAGAAGTTTTGGGGCCCCTTTCACGTGAGATGGAAAAAGCGCTTTTCTTGCAAAGTGTTATTGTGGCAAACCTAGCCACTCGGACTATAACTGGACACTATGCCTTTAAGGGTTGCCTATAGATCTGGAGAGAGATGCGTTGTACCTATATGTGCCTGCTTCATGTATTCCCTGCATTGCCTGTACCTATCTGTTCCGCCGAATGCAAATGGCGGTTTGTATGGGGATTCTCGTTCGTTTCACGAACGGCACTTTGGAGGGCCGTTCGTGAAACGAATGTGATACCCCCTAATAGCCCACACACTTAGAGGCGTGTGGCGCTAGTTAACCGATTGCAACATTGTTGCAATCGGTTATTAGAGGCTCTCCTGGGTGGCCGTCGTTCGACTACCGACCATGCGGCGGTCGGCCATCTTGGATCCCTGGTTCTTCAGCGGGTCCGTGTCGTCGAACGCATAGCATTGCCAACAGTTATTCGACGGCACGAACACCGCTGAGCCTCCAGGACGTTCGGGAGTTTCAGGACCAGGTTCACTAAAAGCAATCGGTTCTTTTCGTGTGTTTTGAAAGAAATGTGTTTTCTGTGCGGCGTTCGGTTATTTTAGCTGGGATCTGAGCGGCAATCTCACGAATGATGCGCCCAGACCCCAGCTATCTACCGAACGTCCATTCGTGTAAATCCACCGTATATTGTACCAGTTGTAGATTTTTGTGTGAATTGCCGGTTCTGCTGCACGAGGGGATAATCCCCTTAACGGTGCATTCTGGGAGGATGATCCCTCTCGTGCAGCGGTGCCTGATGGGAGAAATATGTGGTACTGTAAATCCCCCATGTAGTCCCCTCCTGTACAACCCCTGTAATGTCAGTTTGGAAACCCCTTGCATGGGGAATTGCATAAATACTGTGACCTGTGATTAAAACCTCAGTTGACTCCCAGCCTATGTGTCGTCTAGTTCTTGGGAAGGAAGGGTTACTGCAGTGCTGTTTGGATTATTATATGCTGATTCCCTGGATTATCCTTTGTTGTTCCTGTTACCCAGCGGAGATATCGTGGATCATACTGCCTCTCCGCTACAATTGGTGGCAAGCGACGGGATTGAATTTACACAGCAAAGCAACGTTCGGCAGATTTTTAAACGAATCAAGGAACAAGCATTCGGGAATTAGCGCATTCGAATAAACCTCACGAACAGCGGGTGAATGGGAACAGATTACGCCCTGCTAAAACGGAGCACATTAAAGGAGCTGCTGGAAGCAAGAGGAGCAATCGCCAGTAACATGGCAAAGGCTGTCCTGATTGCGGAGCTCATGGAAGGAGACAGAGCCGCAGCTGCTGCAGCACCTCAAATGGAGGGACAAACCAACGAATTTACAGCGGAATTCCGAGCACGGATGGCTTTATTTCCTGAACCACCATCTACAGAGATGATTAACCGGCTGTTCGCTGATGTACAGGAGTACATTATGGCTAGAGGACCGCCAGGAAACCAGCAAGCCAGAGAAAGAGCCGCAACGCCAGTCCATCTTTTCCCAGGGAAAGCCAAAATCCCATATCAAGCCTTCAAAAGCTATGTGGAGACAGAGGGTGGCGTTGACGACTATTTACAGGATTTCGAGAGACTGTGTTTGCTGCACGAAATTAATGATGCAGACAGAGTACCCCTACTAGCGGGGAGATTATCTGGGCGAGCCGCCGAAGCGTACCGGGCAGTACCAGATGAGGATAGTAGAGACTACGCTAAAGTAAAACGGGCCATCCTAGCCCGGTATGCCATCACATCAGAGGCATACCGAAAGAAGTTTCGGGACATTAAAAAACCCACTAAGGACACCCATGTGGAATGGGCGCACCAGTTGCAACGAGCTGCCAAGGGGTGGCTGGAGGCCGCCCAAGTTGATACATTGGAGGGTCTGTTCCAGCTAATGGTACTGGAACAATTCTTCAATGGCGTCCCGACCTACCTACAAAACTGGATCCGGGACAGAAAGCCACACACCCTGCAGGAAGCGGCTAATATGGCAGACGATTTCCAGGACAATCGGAGAGATCAACCCATACCAACCCGAGCCACCATTCCCCCTACAACGACCAGCCCTCCAGGGGGCCCCGCAACGTACCAGCGACCAGGGGCAAACCAGAATTCCTACCCCCCCAGATATTCAGCACGTCCACCAATCCGGTGCCATACCTGCAACCAACAGGGGCACATCCAGAGAGACTGCCCACGGAACCGGCCTCGACCCAGCTGGAATACCGCCGCCCCGAGCAACCGTGCCGCAGTCCATTGTCTACAGGCCGAATCCTACCAAGATCTGGAGTTGGGGACAACCCGGGAGGAACCCCTCGGTACTCTACACGAGGTGAACCCGATCCAGGCCGCCTCCGATAACCGCCAAGGGCACCGCCAGGAAGTACACATGGAGGGGAGGAAAGTACAAGGACTTCGTGACTCTGGAGCCACCCTAACTCTAGTGCGCAGTCATCTGGTACCAAAGCCCAAGCTCACGGGGGACTGTGTGGCTGTGCGGGTGGCTGGGGGAGCCATTTACAAAGTACCCACGGCCAAGGTGCACTTGAATTGGGGAGCGGGGCACGGGAATGTATATGTGGGGATGATGCAAGACTTGCCAGTGGATGTGATTTTGGGCAACGATTTGGGGGAGCTGACTTCAGCGTTTGTTCCACAGCCCACCATACAAGAAGCATACCCGGTTGTGACCCGGCAACAGGCCCGCACCACTGCACCATCCGAACACTCTGAGGCTCAGGTAAGCGATGACCCTCCCCTACCCCCTATCATGCCCTGGGCCAATTCCATAGAGTTCGGGGCCGAGGTAGCCCTAGATCCTTCGTTGCAGGTATACAAAGACCGCATGGATAAAATTCAAGCCGGGTTAGAGGGGGAAAGATATATCTGGGACAAAGGACTACTATACCGGCACGCAGAGAAGGTAGTGTCCGGGTCAATACCGTTGCCCATTAAACAGCTAATAGTGCCTCGAAAGTATAGGTTAGAGCTGTTACGCATAGCCCATGATATCCCTCTGTCTGGACACCTAGGCATCAGTCGGACCAAGCACAGGCTGACCCAAAATTTCTTTTGGCCAGGTATTTCTCAGGATATTAAGCGATATTGTCAGACCTGCGATACCTGCCAAAGGGTAGGCAAGAGGGGGGACAGATACAAAGCCCGACTACGGTCTCTGCCCATCATTGAAGAACCATTCAGTAGGGTGGCAGTAGACATCATAGGTCCCCTTGCAAAACCCAGCCCCTCCGGCAAGAAGTATGTCCTAACTGTGGTGGACTACGCCACCCGGTACCCCGAGGCAGTGGCCCTAACGAACGTACACGCAGAAACGGTAGCCGAGGCCCTGATGAGGATATTCACCCGGGTAGGATTTCCCCGGGAGATTATCTCCGATAGAGGCACCCAGTTTACTGCTGAAGTGACACATCAGCTCTGGAAAATATGTGGGATACAACAAATCCTCAACTCCCCATATCACCCCCAGTCCAATGGGCTCTGTGAACGGTTTAACGGAACCCTGAAACAAATGATCCGCACGTTCATGGACACTCAAAAAGACTGGGAGCGGTTTTTACCCCACCTACTGTTCGCATATCGAGAAGTGCCGCAAGAATCCACCGGATTCTCTCCGTTCGAATTATTATTCGGGAGGAGAGTGAGGGGACCTCTGGACTTGATACGGGAACACTGGGAGGGAGACGAAACCATTAATGGCACCCCTATCTTACCATATGTGCTCGAGTTCAGGGAACGCCTGGAGAGGCTAACCCAGACCGTCCGAGACAATCTCCAGGTAGCGCAACAACGACAGCGCCGATGGTATGATAAGGGAGCCAGGGACCGCAGCTTCCAGGTGGGGCAGAAAGTCCTAATCCTGCGACCCGTCCACAAAGATAAGCTGCAGGCTTCCTGGCAGGGCCCATACAAAGTGGTGGAACAGATCTGTGACACCACCTATGTGATCGGCCCGGTTACCGGCGTGGGAGGCAAACGCATGCTCCATGTGAACATGTTCAAGCCATACCACGAACGGACTGAGGAAGTCACCGCAATCTGTGCCCCTGCCACGGAAGATTTTGATAACCTACCCCTACCCGATCTCCTAGACCAAGAGGGCCAGAGCGGAGATCTGGGAGAGGTACAGCTAGGAGAAAGATTAAATGCCCAAGAACGGGCCCAGGTACAAAAGTTGCTTCGGGAAAAGAAGGCCACGTTTTCCAATTTACCCGGCTATACCCCGTTGGCTACCCATAAGGTAGAAACGTTAGATCCGACCCCCTTGCGCCAACCCCCATACCGCACTCCAGAAGCAGTCAAGGAAAATATGCGCAAGGAAATTGAGGAGATGATTCAGCTAGGAGTAATAGAGCACTCGGACAGCCCCTGGGCCTCCCCGGTAGTACTGGTGCCAAAACGGGACGGGACGACCCGTTTCTGCGTAGACTACCGACGGCTCAACGATAAAACGACCTCTGACGCATATCCCATGCCCCGAATAGACGAACTCCTCGACAAGATGGCCAGGGGTCAATACCTAACCACTATAGACTTGTGCAAAGGGTACTGGCAGATTCCCTTAGCGGAAGACGCCATCCCTAAGTCGGCTTTTGTCACCCCGTTTGGCCTGTATCAGTTTAAGGTCATGCCATTCGGGATGAAAAACGCTCCAGCTACCTTCCAGAGAATGGTGGACAGACTATTAGATGGGTTCCAGGAGTATGCCTGCGCGTATCTAGATGATATCGCCATATTCAGCCACTCCTGGCACGAACATCTGGTTCACATAGGAGCCATTCTAGACCGAATCCGAGAGGCCGGACTGACCCTAAAACCCAGCAAATGCCATATCGGTATGGCGGAAGTCCAGTATCTGGGGCACCGGGTAGGGAGTGGGCAACAGAAACCCGAACCTGCTAAAATAGAGGCAGTCGCCCAATGGCCTACCCCTCGCACCAAGACCCAAGTGCTCGCCTTTTTAGGGACCGCCGGGTACTACCGGAAGTTTGTGGCCAACTATAGCGCCCTCGCCAAACCCCTCACAGACCTGACCCGCAAGAACCTCCCTAAGTTAGTAGTCTGGGCCCCAGAGTGTGAGCAGGCGTTCCAACAGCTCAAGACGGCGCTTGTTAACTCTCCTGTACTTTCTGCTCCTGATCCAACTAAACGCTTTCTCGTCCACACAGACGCTTCTATGTTTGGATTGGGAGCAGTACTGAGCCAAGTTGGACCCGATGGCGGCGAGCACCCCGTAGCTTACCTAAGCCGAAAACTTTTACCCAGGGAAGTAAGCTACGCCGCCATTGAAAAGGAGTGCCTGGCTGTGGTGTGGGCCCTCAAGAAGTTGCAACCCTACTTATACGGGCAACCCTTCACTTTACTCACGGATCACAACCCGTTGGTGTGGCTGAACAGGGTGTCCGGAGACAATGCCAGGCTGCTGCGCTGGAGTTTGGCGCTGCAGCCTTTTGACTTTACTATCCACTACCGCCCTGGGAAGCAGAATGGCAACGCCGACGGGTTGTCTAGACAAACAGACTTGGAGCCGTGATTCGTGAGTACTCCTCCGGACATCCCCAAGCCGATCCGTTGGGATCAGACTGTGTATGCCGGCTTGGTTCTGGGGGAGCATTGTGGCAAACCTAGCCACTCGGACTATAACTGGACACTATGCCTTTAAGGGTTGCCTATAGATCTGGAGAGAGATGCGTTGTACCTATATGTGCCTGCTTCATGTATTACCTGCATTGCCTGTACCTATCTGTTCCGCCGAATGCAAATGGCGGTTTGTATGGGGATTCTTGTTCGTTTCACGAACGGCACTTTGGAGGGCCGTTCGTGAAACGAATGCGATACCCCCTAATAGCCCACACACTTAGAGGCGTGTGGCGCTAGTTAACCGATTGCAACATTGTTGCAATCGGTTATTAGAGGCTCTCCTGGGTGGCCGTCGTTCGACTACCGACCATGCGGCGGTCGGCCATCTTGGATCCCTGGTTCTTCAGCGGGTCCGTGTCGTCGAACGCATAGCATTGCCAACAGTTATTCGACGGCACGAACACCGCTGAGCCTCCAGGACGTTCGGGAGTTTCAGGACCAGGTTCACTAAAAGCAATCGGTTCTTTTCGTGGGTTTTGAAAGAAATATGTTTTCTGTGAGGCGTTCGGTTATTTTAGCTGGGATCTGAGCGGCAATCTCACGAATGATGTGCCCAGACCCCAGCTATCTACCGAACGTCCATTCGTGTAAATCCACCGTATATTGTACCAGTTGTAGATTTTTGTGTGAATTGCCGGTTCTGCTGCACGAGGGGATAATCCCCTTAACGGTGCATTCTGGGAGGATGATCCCTCTCGTGCAGCGGTGCCTGATGGGAGAAATATGTGGTACTGTAAGTCCCCCATGTAGTCCCCTCCTGTACAACCCCTGTAATGTCAGTTTGGAAACCCCTTGCATGGGGAATTGCATAAATACTGTGACCTGTGATTAAAACCTCAGTTGACTCCCAGCCTATGTGTCGTCTAGTTCTTGGGAAGGAAGGGTTACTGCAGTGCTGTTTGGATTATTATATGCTGATTCCCTGGATTATCCTTTGTTGTTCCTGTTACCCAGCGGAGATATCGTGGATCATACTGCCTCTCCGCTACAGTTATATTATATAATCTCCAGGAGTGATATCATGCAATGTATTCTTGTCGGCTGATCAGCATTTTAATCAGTTGTAGAAAAACACTAAAGGCTTGATTAATGACATGCAAATATTCTTTAATATTTAAACTCATACACAATGAAGGGAAGGGGTTAATGATTCTCATCTATAATTTCTCATATTATATTCTCTTTCCTGAGATTTACACAAGAGCTGAAAATTAGACAAACCACAGGTTATTTTTGATTTATCGCTTCTGCTTTTGAATTAACAGACGCATCCGCAAACTAACGTTGACCTGATGCTTCCGAGAAAAGTATCATGCAGAATAAGACATGCTTGACCACAAGAAATGTGGTCATTTGCAAGATCAGCTATTTCCGATTTTAGCAACATTTATCTTTTGTAAGCACATTTTGACCAATGTATGTCAAAGTTCATAACCAATACTGTATAAATATACCATCCTTTTTATAATACATTTGAAGATTATGGAAAGCAAAGAGTGTGTGTCTGGTTAATACGCTTCCATAAAAATCTTCCCTGAATATTCAGCTGACAATCGAGGGTTGGAGAATAGTGACCAGAGGGACCGAGTCACCAGAGTAGCAGATTTACCTTTCAGCTTGGTACCAGAAGTGGGGTTGTAGCCAAACCATTTTGGGTGAGTAGTAATTCCCTGTGTCTATCTTGACGCCCTGAATCTATGATCCCCATGGTTTTGTAAGTCTACATCATTTTAGGAAAGGTTATTTTGTACATGTGTTTTATGTGACTCAGTTTTACATAAGGTCCCGTTAAATTAGTCTAGTAAGGAAACTAGACAGAGATATATGTATTTCTAGTAAGTGAACTAGAGAAGGTCTAATAAGAGAATTAGACAGATAAAAGGAAGTCTATAAAGTGATATAGACAGAGAATTTAGTATATAAGTGAATATACTACAATAGTGTGCACAGAGTTTCAGGTTCACCTTGTCCACCCTCTAATTGTCATTAGTTAAGTCTGGTTGTGAGTGTGAATAAGTGTTTGAAAGATTTGTCCTAGAAATGGGAAATTACCATGCAAGAATATAAAGTAGTTAACTTTTCTTGTTCATATGTATTTTATGCTTAAACAAGGTTTATAATCATTAAGTACTGACTGTAAGGATATGAAATAGTTAAACTTTTTTTGCTTTATATGCTAACCCTGAAAATATACTCACTGAGAATCTTGTTAAAGCACATTTGTAGTGTCCATGTCTTTATTGCAAACAATGATTCTCCATCACTTGGGTGATTGTCTATACTGGGGACACACTTTGGTAAGTTAGTAGTGTGTCCACCCTGAGTCAGCAGTATGGGAAATGTAAGTTCAGGTCCTGAGTGACCAATATATATACATATATATATGATAGCAGTACTGTATATTAGAAAAGAACTGGCTCGCAGGTTTTGCCTGATAGACCTACTTAAATCTTTTGCTTTATTCTTTCTGTCGCATAGAAGTATAAGTTTATTACTCTGTTTTATTGCAAGTTATTTCATATGGGATCTGTGTGCCTGGTATGATTGTTACTTTAATACCATAAGCCCACTACACTTTCTATGAGAGTGGGATAGTGTAAATGTGTTGCATTGTTTGCATGATGAGCTCAGTATTTTTATAACTGAGACAAAAAGTCACTTCATTAGTATTTGAAAGTTAATTCCCCATATGGGATTAATTGTATAGAACTCCAATCAGCACATCTTCCCTGCCCTGTGTGTTTGTTGCAGAGGATCCATACTGTAAATATGATTTTTGTTTGTAAATAAGAGCAACATTTACATTTTCAGCGGTCCAACACATGCTTCATTTTGCGCTGTAAACTAACCTTTTTTATTGCAACAGATTCCTTTTAAATGATCCAGTGTAATAACTACTGCATATGTTTTGTGTCTTCTGTGTCTAACATTATATGTGTTCTGTTCTTTTAAATTGTGGTATATAGCCTGGATCAGAGATCATGGACAAAGGTTTTTACCTGTGTTACTAAGGCTCTTGGAGACTGACCGGTCTATACATTTTTTTAAGTCTCTGAGAGTTCTGTAAGATTCTGGTGAAACCATGTCTGTGTAATCTGGTCCAAATGTTTGCTCAATTTCTATAAGATTTAAGTTGATGCAGTATCATCTCAGATTAGTTAATGGAAGTTTCATACAAATATTTGAGTTATGAGCGCGCTATATAAATGGATCCTTTCTCTATATACAATACTATAGTAGATTAAAGTAATGAAGTTAATAAGAATTAAAAAAAAAAAAAAAGTATACATAAGAATTCCTAAAATAAATCTAATACAAACTAAAATTGGTATACCTTACAATAATATGTTCTGAGTACAGCTGTTAACTGTTTATTCTGTGTAAATGGTGACTGTGATAATGTGTGAAGTGTGCAGCTTAACTGGAAAGTGGTTTAATTTATATGTTGCTGTGTTGTTTTAAATTATATTTGAATCAGTTTGTCTCAGTCTAGTGATACTGATAAAAATGCCAGTCAAATAACCTAGCAAATAACTGTTTTAGTAGTTCCATCAGGCTCTGTGTTGTGTTCTGATATAGCTATATGGGAATGGAGATTTGGAGGTTTTAGTTTAAGACTGCTTTCATATTGTGTCTACCCGTGTTTCCTAGGAGAGACACAGAGAGTGTAGTTGCGTGCCCAAGAATGTGTTTTCTGTATTGGCATATCTGCTGGGTATCCATTATGTGGTTTCTGCTACGTCTGTTTTGTGAGATGTCTGTTTTGTGAGATGACATGTAATATTACATTGGATGCTGAGTATGAGTTATATGGTTTGAAAATGAATTGGTGTGTTATGTGTTTTATGTATTTTATTATCCATTGTGTAGGAGTTTAACTATCAGAGTGATTTGCATATCATTAACGCAAGCATTTAGTGTTTTTACAAAAGGTGAAATGCTGTCCAGCCGGCTTGAATGAAACAATTGTATGCTATCGCTCTTGGAGCAAGAAAAGCGCTTGTTACATCCCACGTGAAAGGGGCCCCGCAAACTTCTGCTGTTCAAATCATGGGTCCACGTTTCCATTTGCAAATTGATTAATCCTGAAAGTCATTCTTTTAAAAAGGATAAAAAGGATTGAATGGACAAGATGTCTCTCCCTCATAAAGAAGTTCTAATAGGGGAGTATTGTCCAGCTCAGAGTTAACTCTACTTTTAAAGTATATTGCATTGTTTGTGTCAAAGTAAGATTCATCTAGTATGCCTCATTGATTATGGGGTAATAATAACATGGTATTTTTAATAGAGATTAGACAATTTCTGAAATTTATAAGTGAGGTAATTTTAATCTCCTAAACTACTGTATTATATTTGTATGGGTAAATTGAAAGCATTTTGCAGATCCAGAAGAGGATTAATAAATATAATAATCTCAATAGGTGCCAAATTATGCAAAGAGGCTATCCAAAGTATGCACTAACGGGTTAAACTTGTTTTCTTGATAAGCGTATAACATTTAGTTTTGTGGTTAGACTTTTTATACTCAATTTGAAATATGTCCCAACTACATCCTTGCATGGCACCAGGTACAGGAAGCTATATGCGTTTTGAAAATTTGCAAGCTCTTAGTGTTTTCAATATATTATAACAATGGAAAAGTACCTAACCGCATGTCTGCATTACGCTCATGACACAGACTGTCAGTATTGCAAGCCCTATATGAAGGCTATGCCTATATGTATATACCCCTAGACAACCTTGCTTTATATACAAAATTTAACTATCCATTCAACCTTTAAAAGCTTATAAATATTATATCTGTGTGGTACACAAAGAGGGGGGTGTGATAGGTAATCCCATCCTGCATATGGAATAAAGGCAGAGGTAGAGGATTTGGTCAAAGGGTCTAACTTTTGTAGAGGTAACAACTTCAGCATTGGTGGAACACACTGTTCTAATTGTGGATAGCAGGGTCACTGGAAAAATGAGTGCCCAAACCCGCCCCCACAGCTTCCTCAATACCAACCACAGCTTCCAACCTATACCCACACCCAACAACCCCAGCCTAATACACAGGTGGTTCATGTTTGTAATATTTTATATAGTTTTAGGTGTTAATCCAAGAGTATTGAATTATTCGGGATTATTAAAGTAATTAATTTTGAATATCAGATCAAGGTTCCAGTTTAGGAACAGAGTTTTATTGGGAATTATCCCCATATGTATATGTTAGTGTTTTAATATTCATCCTAACAAGGATTTTTATAGAGTGAGTGCTACTCTCATCCGTACAAAGGCATTCCAAAGGGGTATTATGTAAAACTTCATAGAAGACAGATTGCATAAAATATAAGAGAAGTACATGTTACACAAATTAAGGGTTTAACCTTAATCTCTAATTTAAATTTTAGCCTAGGTAATTAATTCATGTTGTATTGATCCTTGTGTTTGTATGATTGTAGAGACCGTCCTGGAGTGTTTGTGCCGCCTGATTTCTGGGACTACACACCAATCTCTCTGGCTGACCATGCAATAAGTATTTTGCAATTACATCTGTTTGGTCATTATCCATGCAGGCCGAAGAAACTGAGATACTTATTTATGAGGACATAAACTTTGCACGCAAGAACCTGGAAAGTCCTGAAGGTGCAGTGCTGTCTAATACCGCTGGTTCTGTAATAACCCTTTCAACCATTGGAGTGTTGCACAGAGCTTTGTGGTGAAAATCCAGCAAACAAAAGAAGAACTATGTGGAAGCTGACATTGTCTTGTTGTCAGCCATATTGCTACCCTTAGCCATTTTTATGGAACAAAATGTCTGGTGTCTAAACTGATTTCTTTATACCCTGTGAAAGACTATTTTTCTGAACTATGCTGAACTATTGAACTATTTTTATTTTTGTAGAGTTAGCCAGAGAGAGAGGAAGTGTTAGCTGACCCAGGGATGGATGTACAATGTGTGTTTTTATATATGTTGAGTGTGCCAAGGATGGATTCCCATGTTTTGGGGAATTGCGTGAGGATATGACTGGTTTTGACTGGACTTTTGGAATAGGGAAATGGTTAAAAGATATAGGACGCAAGGTCCTGGTTGTGCAATAATATAGTTGCTATAAGCCCAAGTTCCATTCTGTCTTAAACATCCATTTTCTATATATCTGTCTGCAAAAGTATTAAGTGTTTTTGTTTTGTTTTTTTTCTGCTGAGTTTCTGTTTCTTGTAGACCACATGATTGCTTGGGAATGCCATAATGTGGAAATTTCTCTGTCTTGGGAGAATGTTAACCGATGATATGAGCAATATATATTGCTCAAAGAGGGGTAACAATTGTGATTATTGGGGCTCAGTTGGATGGAACACCGGGACAGATTGGGGCCACAGAATGCATTAGATAAAAAGGATAAGAATGGGAAGTCCCTCTTGACTAGAATGACCCTAACAAAGTACCCCTATAGGGCAAACTGGGCACTCCATGAAATTTACCTTAAATCTCAGTACCTTTTTAAGAGGAGGTATTGGAGGTAATCGAGGGAAAGCCTCACCTCTAGACAAACTCTTGTTAATCCTCTAAAGCCCCACATTCAAACCTGTGGTGATATGATGGCCATAACAGATCCCACGTTTGAAGATACTGTAGCGCTAGAAACAGGGTATACAGATACAAACCTATGGCTAGAATGGATGAGATATAATGCCCACTCCAATAACAGGTCAAACTATGTGGTAGTGCCAGACCTCATCTAGGAACTGTACCTTTACATGTCCCTGATGAGTACTGGGAATGCTTCCTAAGTTTGTTTTCAGGTACCACTGTTAATACTACAGGATGTGAAGAATGGAAAAAGGGTCACCCTATTGGTGAACCCAAGTTTAAATTAAATGATGTTGTCTCAGTATACCCTGGTAATTTTTCTTCAGGATTCTGCTCCGCCTACAGTAATATTACCTTAGTGAATCAAACACAATCTGTGGGAGATGTTTATTGAATATGTGGAGATATGAAAATACGTTCTAGACGCCCCACCCCCTGGAGAGGAGAATGTGCCTCAGCCAAAATAATCATGCCCCTCCAACACTGGCCCTAATGGTAAAGTAACTCTAGCTATAAAGAAATTGGAAGACCTGTCCATAGAAATGAAGAGAAATTCAGGCATTGATCACCCATGGGCAGATATGTTTAAGTTTGACAGTATCCTAGACTGGCTAAAGAATATTGCAATGATTATTGTTATGGTTCTGATCCTTGCTCTACTTGTTTATGCTATTTTCAAGATTATTGTATTCTACATTTACAAACATACACGCAACACTGTTCCTGTAAAATCCCCAGCTTGCTATGATGAGTATCTCCAAATGTATACACATAACCGAAGCAATGGTGAACATGCTGATCCAGATCTATAAGTTTGTGGTACTGGTCAGATGCCTAGTCCTATGCTATGGGAATAGTGGCCGAAAACATAATGAAAGACCTGCAGGATTGGCTAGCAATCCTGAATATACCATGGCAGATGGCTGGTTGTCTGACCAGGACTCCTTAAATGGGGTATGAGCAAGGTCTTGCTCAAAGAGGGGAATGAAGGGAAGGGGTTAATGATTCTCATCTATAATTTCTCATATTATATTCTCTTTCCTGAGATTTACACAAGAGCTGAAAACTAGACAAACCACAGGTTATTTTTGATTTATCGCTTCTGCTTTTGAATTAACAGACGCATCCGCAAACTAACGTTGACCTGATGCTTCCGAGAAAAGTATCATGCAGAATAAGACATGCTTGACCACAAGAAATGTGGTCATTTGCAAGATCAGCTATTTCCGATTTTAGCAACATTTATCTTTTGTAAGCACATTTTGACCAATGTATGTCAAAGTTCATAACCAATACTGTATAAATATACCATCCTTTTTATAATACATTTGAAGATTATGGAAAGCAAAGAGTGTGTGTCTGGTTAATACGCTTCCATAAAAATCTTCCCTGAATATTCAGCTGACAATCGAGGGTTGGAGAATAGTGACCAGAGGGACCGAGTCACCAGAGTAGCAGATTTACCTTTCACACAATGGATATTAACACATAACACACCAATTCATTACAAACCAAAGAACTCATACTCAGCAACCATTGTAATATCACACATGTCATCTCACAAAACAGAACACAACAGATGTAGCAGATACACATAATAGATCCCCAGCAGACATGCCAATACAAAAAGCATATTCATGGACAGGCAACTAAAACATGACCAATACAAAATAAATTAACAAAATAAGTAAATAAATGTCACACTCCGTGTCCCTCAGAAGAAACACTGTTAGACATAATGTAGGTTCCTATGCTTGTGATAGATTACAAATCCAGTCTTAAACTAACACCTCCAAAACTCCATTCTCATACCTATGTATAAGAAGCCTTTTTTTAAATAATGAAAATTTCTGCAAACTATTTGACTTCTACGGAAGCAGACAATCAGCATTAAAGATAGATCAGAAAACTTGGCAAATGAACAGGAAAGTTGAATAAGACAGGAAGTCGACTATTGCATCCGCAACAATTAGCTATATTGTAGATCAGACAGAGCCTCTCAGAGCTGTTAGAACTACTCCAACTCCCACTGCTCTTGGACAAAATGCTAGTATTCAACAGCCAATAAAACAGACATTTAATAGATTATTACGCTGCCATTTCTATCTGTATCAATAGACTGAGACAAAACTGATTCAAATATAATTTAAAACAACACAGTAAAATACCAATTAATCTACTCGCTTATTAAGCTGCACACTTCAAAATGGATATCCAAAACACATTATCACAGTCACCATTTACACAGAATAAAATTTTAACAGCTGAATTCAGAACATATTATTGTAAGGTATTTCAATTTTAGTTTGTATCAGATCTATTTAAGGGTTTCTTATGTATACATGTATTTCCTTAATTACTTTATTACTTAATCTACTATAGTAGTGTTTATAAAGAAGGGATCCCTTTATCCCTCTTGACTTAAATATTTGTATGAAACTTGCATTAACTAATTGCAACATATGTACCATGTCAATAGAAGTTCTCTCTTAGATGATGCTACATCATCCTAAATCTAATTGAAATTGAGCAAGCATTTGGACCAGATTACACAGACATGGTGTCACCTGCATTTGTTAAAACTCTGAAAGATTCAACATTTTTATACTATACCATGTTAAAAGCTATGGCAAACCTTTGAATGAACCGGTCAAGTTGAGTGTTTAAGAGCCATAATAACGCAGATAAAAACCTTTGTCCATGATTTTCTGATCCAGACTACATTCCTAACCAAATCTCAAACCCAACACACAGGCAGTCTACAGTTGTGGTCACAAGAAATAAAAATTTCAGCATCCCCGTACAACAATTTTGTAGATTTTCCCAATTTAAATGAACACATACAATTTCTGCTAACAGAAACTCATCAGGTCCTCCTATAGCCTCTACTTCTTTTTCTTCTTCCTCTTTTTCTTCATCACCATCACTTGTCCCTTTGACACCCCATTCCCCTAATCCCATCATTTTCTTATACCTGGTTTGGACACCCTTAGGGGACCTTTGGAGGAGCAGCCTAATTCCCTCATCCAGGGGAGTGGTAGAAAGGGAACTTGATGGGGCAGAGGGTACTGCTTGTCCCTGTTGGGGACTTTGGGGTGGTCCAACTGCTACAACAAGGATAGGACCCAAATCATCATCATCTTTATGGGACAGGCTGGGATATAATGGGTATGGGGTGTAATTAGAAGGGGGTAATGATTTGGAGTTGTTAGAAACAGTCTCCCTAGTTTTCTTTTTATTCCTTTTCATCCTTTTCCCATTTTGTGAAACAGAATACCAGTTCTTCAGCCAGTTCTTACCTCCCTGTCTCATGTAGTCCCTGTCCTATCCAGGGTCACCCTCATACCAAGGGAAAACTTTCCTATCTCCTAGGCATAATCCCCTAATCATACACATATAGAAATCATCATTAGCCCCTGTCCATCTTTCCACCCTGACATATTATCTACCCACGGATCCACTAAATAATCCCCTAGTTCTCCAACCCTGGCTACATACTATTTGCAGTTCTCTCCTGGGCTGGGGGGTGGGGGTATTCTTTACACTGGGAAGTACCCATTTCAGACTCATGGGCAATTAGGACTGGACTTGAAATTGCTGGTTTATCAGTGGTGAAGGACAGCTGTCATAGAATCAAGGTTCAGACAAGGTCTGCCACGAGCTGGAGTGCTTAAAACCAGAAATTCCAATCACTTGACAACAATGATTATTCAGGGGATTGGAGCAGCTGTTTGGAACGCAGAGTGTCCTACAAACTGTCCCCACTCCTTGAGCTTTATGCTTAAAATCAGATGTGTCAAGGATACATAAGAATAGCACAGAAGCTATACAGCAAAATATGTACAAGCAAGCAAGCAAAATTAAGCGCTGGGAGTAGGGTTATCCATCCATCAAGTACAGTTTTCAAACAATTCCCATTTACTTTTACTTTTTTGCCTACCAAAGGCACAACCTGCTACCAAAGGAGGGGCTGTCTCCCAAAGACAGCAACTATGAAGTCCCTGAAAAGTCCCTGAGTCTACCTTAGATTACGCAGTAAAGATCCCCTTTAACCCCTTATGGACACATGACATGTGTGACATGTCATGATTCCATTTTATTCCAGAAGTTTGGCCAATTAATTCCCCCCTCCATACACCCCTTCTATATTTATTATACCTTACCCTTCCTCCCCTTCATATACTCCAATACTGCTATACTTTTTATTTATGTCTTGTATGCTTTATTTTGTACTAAATATGCCTTGTTATATTGTATGTACATATATCTTTATGCCAATTAATTCCCCCCTCCATATACCCCTTCTATAATTATTATACCTTACCCTTCCCCCCTTCATATACTCCAATACTCCAATACTGCTATACTTTTTATTTATGTCTTTTATGTTTTATTTTGTACTAAATATGCCTTGTTATATTGTATGTACATATATATTTATGCCAATTAATCCCCCCCTCCATATACCCCTACTATAATTATTATACTTTACCCTTCCCCTCCCAACATGACCAAACTTATTCCTATTCCCCTCCTAATATGGCTCTTATTTCCATTCAGACAGCACGATCCCTGCGTGCCGCCATAATTTTTCAGCTATACATCAGCTGAAGTACTAAGCACGCCGAAAACTACTTCCCCCACAATTCCCCCCCATAAGACGTCCGTCTTCAGCCCCTCACGTCCCACGCCGGCAGGCACATTTACATGCGCCCAACTACAATTCCCATGGGGCTCAGCTCCAAATATGCCGATCATGTGATTATATACTCAATTTTTTAATTTTTTTTTATTTTAACCTTCTATTCATTACATAACCCTCGTTTTTAATAAGTACTTAGATCATTATGCTCTTATTTACTCATTGTTTTC